AGCCCTAAGAAAGCCCAGCCGCCACATTCATCACATCCAGCACCTTTCTAATCCGATTACCCCGACGCACAGTTGCCTATGATAGCCATAAATACGTCAACACCATTTACAGCTAGAAGCGACAGGATTACTACTCACACAGTGAATCCGCATCACCCTATCCAACGGCATCAGCCCTTACGGCACAAATGAATGCTATTTAAAGACTGTTTCACGGGGGAGAGCATTTTGCACTTTCGTTGCTTCACTAGTCCCTGGTCAAGCTTGTGAACCCTTGGGAAGCTGGAGCAAGCTCGTAAGCCATCAAGGTAAAACCTGAAGAGGCTGTCTAGACGGGTCGACACGCCAATGGAATTTAGCGAAAGCGCTACATGCCCCTCCCCATTCTTGATTCTGTGTGACCCTAATGTTTTGGGATAAAAACATGAGAGAAGCGTCGAATTGCTGAGTTGGATAGTGGACGGGATTTCGATGTGATAAGAGCGTTAGGTATCACATATCAGGTGTTCTGACTTTGCTTTAGCGTCGTTATCAGTGTTGGTGCTTGTCACATGGACACACATATACACTCTCTAATTTGTTGACTTGTCGTGATGTTTTTCCATCTTCTTGGGATGTTATTTGGTCGGAGTTGACTTCTCGCCAGAACTGGTTCATTTGGCCCCATTTGCCTCGCTCACCGACATTTTCTTACCTAATGCAAAAGTTCTACGCAGTCTTGAAGACTGACTTGGCTTTTTCCTGCTATGTCTGGTAATTGATTGGACCCGTCCACAACCCCACCCCCTTCCCTTCCAGGTGAAATCCTTGGGCAGTTTGGTGATATGTTATGGAAGTTTTTTAAGAAGTCTGGGTCTTACCAAAGCAGCAGCTTTGAGGGGGCATCGTATTTTGCAAGAAAGTTCCACAATGTGCTGGTGATGTCCGGCAGGATACTCACTCAGCTGCCCTGTCAAGGTACTCTTTAAAGAGATTGTCGGCTGAGAGCGTGGAGAGCTTGGGCCCCTAAGACAAGTTTCAGCCCATCTACCTGACCTTTTCTACTACTTGTATTCGTCGACATGAATTCATTTTTATCCATCTCCAATAGCGATGGAACTAATCGGTTCATCATTTCATCATGACTTTTCGCTTTTCATCATAAAACCACTTCACCCAGGTCTCTCGTCATTGCGCGCCTAATGTCCGACTCCCGCAGATGATCAGTAGTTCAAAAGGCGCAGTCTTCGACTTTGGAGGGGGAGGGCCAAGACATCACAGCAAAGCGTTACAGGCCACCTTGTCAGATATGAGAATTCTGGCGACCAGTGACCCTCTTGGCGCAAGGTATGTTACATGCTACCAAGTGTGGCTTAGGGGCAGTCTGTCAAGAACACTTCGTCTCCTCTAACTAACATGAACTGGGACACAAGAATTAAGCTGAAGTGGGCAGAAAGCCACCTCTCCACCTACGCCGAATCGATGCCCAAAAACAGTGCTCTTCGCAGTGTCGTTGCTCAAGTCTATCATAATATGGCTCAGAGTAAGGAGTAGTGCTGCCTCTTTACACAACCGCCAACGTCGTCCCCTTTATGGGGCGTTGTTTGAGCTCCTCAAGTATTGATCTACGTGCTTTCCAGATTTGGTTTCGATGTTTTTCTTGGCTGTTTTCGTCGGTATCATTAGCTTCTTCTTCATCAGGTTATGGATTCAAAGAAGGAAACTACCGCCAGGTTCATTTTGAATTTGAAATGAACCCGGATTTTAGAATGGACAAGATTTGCTGGCGGTTGTAAGTATAATGACTGCACATTCAACAAGAACCTTGAAGGTGGAGGGGGCTGGAGGTAATGGTCAAGGGGGGGGCTTGAGCCTTGGGGTGCACCACCAGTGTTCCCACACTGAAGTCGTCTTCGTTAGAGCAACGACCTGGCTTATAGCGTAAACGACAGCGCTTTCGCCACGCTCCCTCCCTCCCTGACACGCCCAGCGTACGCAACGAACGAGACAGCACCACTCTTTTGGTAGCACGCGACGTTGAGCAATGCTGTAATTATGCTCGAAAGCCATCGGCTTCCTCCTTTCAAAAGGCAGAGTCCGCTAATTGCAGAGGGCGGGGACCATTCGATACCGATGTGCTTTCTCATAGATGTTCCATTCCTGGAAATGGCGTGGAGGGGGAGCTCTTGAATGAGAACGGCGCTACGGCGCTATGGTAGCCCTGACACCACCCATGTGATAAGCGTGGACTGCTCTAAACTAGTCGGGCAGTGAGTGAGAGAACCCCCCTCCACCTCCAAGGTTTCTTTGACGAATGTCTGATCCTCGTTCTTATGGAAATACTTCCTTTTAGGTCCGCTTCCCTTGCCTTTCATCGGCAATGTGCATCAACTCGCTTACAAACTGTTCATCAAAAAGAAGAATTTTGTCGAAGCTGTTCGGGACTGGGTTGAGGTAAGAATGAACTTTTCCCAGGAGTAATGATGCGAAGTTCTTCCTGAGCAATAACTGGGCGGATTTAGGAATACGGTCCCGTCCACACTTTTTGGTTTGGTCCCATGGCGACCGTGAACATCTGCGACTACTCCACAGCAGTGGATGCAATGGTGAAAAAAGGCTCAGCTTTTGCCAGCAGAAATAATCCTTATCTATTTGCTTTGACAAGAAGTAAGTTGGCACTCGTGCTGCCACTGGTATTGGTGCTTGTTAGCCTACTCGTTGAATCTGTCGCATTTTAGATGGGCGTGGAATCATCGTCACGAATGGACCGCCTTGGTTGGAGCAACGCCGTTTTGCATTGCACACTCTTCGGAACTTCGGTCTGGGGAGGAATATCATTGAGGAGAGGATCATGTACGAATTCGAAATTGCGTGAGTAGAAGTCACTTTAAAGGCAAAGTCCGCGATCATTCGCCATCACAGATAGTGGACTAGGAGTTCGCATATAGACGACAAGGTTCTGAGTAACTCGATAGTGAAGAAAAAAGCAGAAATAAAATACCAACCGAACTAAATAGAACCCCATTCCGATCCCAGTTTGCTCAATTACCTCCATCTGCAACACTACGCCCTTATCCGCACAGCTGATTCCCCGATAAGAACTCTACGACCGTACAAGTGACGATTTTCATGCTTTTTCGTCCTGCAGCTTCGCTTTTCACTGAAAGGCGGCCTTGAGGCGGAGTCTGGAGGCGGAGTCACTGGGAAAAAGGGGCGTCACTGAACCT